ATGGAAACAATACATTGAAATGAGAAAGTTGGTTTGCATTGTCGGACAAGCGAGGGTGAGAGAGGCCCATGATGCCACCCCCTCCAACCACCTCCACTTTCTCTCTCTCTTTCTCATTCTATCTTCGTCTTATCCATGCGTTTCACTTTTTTCATCCCTCGTAAAAATGTGTACATCTCTCTCTTTTTATATATATATATTATACGTATATATATGAAATATATACGTATGTGTGTGCTCGGGGCTGACTCTCTCTCTCTCCCTTTCTCTATTTCTTTTTTTTTTTCCATCTCTATCTCTCTCATCTCTGTGAAGGGACGCGACTCGTCTCCGCCTCGTTTCCCATCGCCTGCTTGAAAGAAAGGATTGTAAACCGCCGGATGAGCCGTGGATTCCGGAATGGGGACTGCTCATTCGTCGTTTCTCTTTTCTTCTCTTCTCTTCTCTCTCTTTCTCTTTCTCTTTTGCATTTTTTTTCTTCCTCTGCGCATATACCTCGCTATTCGCGAACTCTACTCTTCCTAGTGTGTTTGTGTCTCTCTCTATCTCTTACTTTCTCTCGTATTCTTTGTGCGTCTACCTACACGCAGATATACTCGTCGACAATTAGTCAAAGAGATCGCTTTTTTCGTTCGCGCTCCGCTTTAATAAGCGAATCGAGTGGCCGGATTGTCGGTACTTTCTCCAACGACCAACGAATCTCGATACTTCGTGTTATAGAGTATTATATAGAATAGAATAGCGATTGTAAATAAGGATTTTTCAAATTTCTATTGTTTTATACTCGAATCCGTTTTATCTTTGCCATTATCGTCATTAAATTATTATTATAAAAATCTTTATTTCAGTTAATAAATATTGTTCTTTAGTTTTTAATGGAAATGAATTTTTTCATATTATCTGTAGTTTGCTTTACAAGTAAATTTAATTGAGAGAAGTTGAAAAGGCAGGGGGAGAGAGAGAGAGAGAGAGAGAGAGGGAGGAAATAAAAGAATGATAGACAGAGATTCGTGGCAGTGTAAGCAAATCTAACAAAGGAAGTTTCTTCTGAAAACGTCCGTGCTTTACGGCAAGCGACGGTAATTTCACGGGGCTGCAGTTTTATCACGTAGTTACGAATGAAGCAGCAATGGTGCAACAATTTTTGTGTAACGAGAAGGTACATTTATGCGTACTCGTCTCTCGGTAAAACAATAGGAGATATGGCAGGGAAGGTAAATCGATGTTGGGTGTTATATTTATCCAAGCATTTTCTTCTTGCAATTAAAAACAAAAGATAATGGGAAAAAATAAATACAGAAGAAATACGGACATTGTGCGAGTAAAGCTGATAATCCATTTTCGAGGAAGAAGGGTGGTCGATGTGTCGTCTTAGAAAACAGTACACTCGATATATCGAGCGATTAATTGGAGGAGATGAATTCTTATGGGGGACCTTTTTCGTGACTTTGGACAGGCTCACGTGTATGATTACGTAAAGGGGGAGATCTGTAATGTTCTCGAGGACGCTTAAGAAACGGACAGGACGTTAAAGAAGATAAGAGAATAGGAGGGAAGACGAGAGGGAAAGAGAAAGATAGATAGATATAGGGAACGAAAGATCTGAAGGATGTTGACGTAAAGCGTTACGCAGATGGTCGCCCGGCCGGTTGTTGTCTCGGTCTCTTGAACGAACCTACACGACAGTGAAAGCACAAGTGTACAGCCTCAGAAGCTCTTGCGATGACGTTGAGGGTTGACTAAAGTTAGTCCACTCGACGTATCGTGCGCATGCTGCAGGAAACGTACAAACACGTTGTACTGTGCGTAACCCATCCTCGTCTCTTTTGCGTCTTCCTTTTCTCTTTCTATATAGCAGCAAGTACGTCCAAAGAGAAGAGAACGCGCGAGAGAGAGAGTGAGAGAGAGATCTCGAGTAGCTGCCAGGTCTACGTCTGAATTCCCCTTGGTCTCCCTTCTACTCTCCTCGGTGGCTTCTATTGTTTAGCTATTCCGATGAGCCAGTGCATTTCAAATGCACTCGAGCGAGCCATTATATCGGAGAATACAAGCACTTCCTTTCGCAAACCGAGCGTGCACGCTTGCTTGCATGCGAGAACCACGTACGCGATGATGTGCTTTCGCGTTCCTTTTTTCATTTTATTTTATCAACATTTTTCTTTACCTTTGTTATTCAATCTCATCACGAGATTTTCTAAGAATTAACTTTTTTTTTTCCTTATATTATATATGTTACGAAATGCCGGCATTCGACGGAATGCTTAGGAAGTGTGTGAAATATGAATACATTTCATACATTGGCGGCTAGTTTTAGTTATATTTAGTTTTATATTTATACATATCTCAATTTTTGTCTGTATTTTTCTTTTCTTTTTAACGAACATTTAATAGAAATTCTTTTAGCAATATTTGTTTGAAAATCGTCACAAAGTGCAACGAGTTTTGTAAAAAAATTCCGTTTCTTTTAGATCTTTTGATAAAGTTCTGGTTAAATCGCCACAAACAAGATGAATTAATATTCATTTTTATTTGCTCGATAAACCGTACTAGAAAAGAGCGGCATGAAAAGCCCGAGGAAAAGAGATAAATAGATAGGAGAGAGTGGGCAGGGGCAAGAGTAAAGTAATACGTCAAACGCAAAGACCCGGCGTACGTCCGACTTTGCGTTAAGATGAAATTACTTTTATCCCACAAAACAAGACTTCTTTGTCTTCTTTCATTCTTACTTCTTGTTCCAAGCGAAAACAAGAAATTTAATTTTTTACTTGGGTACCATTTGTTTTTATCCTCGGTAAGAAATTATTACGGAGATCGGAAGATATAGGTCATAAGATATTGCGGAGTGAAAAAAATGCTCGCGACGAAAAAAGGGAGTGAAAAAGGTGAAGGGAAAAAGGAATATGAGAAACAGCGAATGATAAAAAGAAAGCTAGATAGATTGATAGCTAGCTAGATAGATAGGTAGATAGGTAGAAAGTGAGAGAAAGAGAAGAGAAAATTCGGACTTTGTAAAGTCTCGTGAGAAACGAATGACAAAACGAGGATACCTTATCGTTGTCGTCGTTGTCGTCCACGTTGTCATCGTTGTGTCGTAACGTGAAGGTCCCGGTTGCTTCTTCTCCTCTGAGAAAACAATCACTTTAAAGATTAGGTAGAATATAACCCTTACGAATTTAATATAACATAGTGCACTGTAATACGAAGATGTGTAGCATGCAGAAAGTTATGTTTCAACGGGTATACCATGTATACACGTAGACAGTTACTCGTAAAACATTTCTAAGCATAAAATGGATACCGTTGAGATAATACATATAATGAATGATAGAAAAATATCAAAAATAGTATTAAGCGTTTATTAATTTTATAATTTGAGAATAATAAGAAAGTAAACATTTGATATATAGAGAGAGATTGTTATTCCCATGTAATTTAAATTTATTTATCAGGTATATCAACACACACACCCACACATATGGAATAAGTTTGTTCAGGTTTTCTCGTTAACACGGGAAAGTACAAAGTTCAATTTAAACGTTGGCTTATATTATCTAGGAAAATTTGAGTAGCGTCATACGATGGTTGCACTGGTGTAAGAGGGTAAGCTATTGCTTTGCATATTAGCTCTCCTTTTTCGGTGACGACGGCCGCCCTTTCCAAACTTGCATCCATCCGGCCGATTAAATTTTCAATATCATCCGTCACATCGCTTAGGGATGAGAGATAGTAGAAGAGTAGATGGGGAAGAGGGAGTAATAGTGGTAATCGTTTATCGATAATTCATAATGTCGCTTTCTTGGCGAACGTTTCTGAACGTTTCTAGAAATGTTAACAAATACAATGTAATTTTGGTTTCCCATTGAAATTGTCCTGATCACAATTCGTCGCACGTTTTCGAAGCATTCTCTGTAGTTCGTAAGGTCAGGCCAGGCCAGGCTAGGCCAGGCTAGGCTAGGCTAGGCCAGGACAAACCAGATCAGATCAGACCAATCAAAAGCAAACCAAGCTAGACCAAGCTAGACCAAGCCGGGCCAAGCTAGGATAGTTCAGGCCAGACCAGATGGATAATGCCGGCCACCGGAATGCCGAATACATCCGAGTGCCTTGGCATTCCTACTTAAATCAACATAACTCGAGTGATGAATGGTTAACAGGATTCGGTTCAGGGATAGGGAAGGCGTGGAGTTTAGGTAGCGGGATCGAAGAGGAAGGAAGGCCGAAACGCAATGCGCTCCATTTATGGAACCTATTACCGGCGAATTTCAGCGTTAAATGTGTGATTTATGGCTACCCGTATTATTTTCGTTCACGTCCCGCGTCGACGATACAGTCCATAGAGGCTGTAGGACGTCGGCGTTCTAGAAAATTATTTGGAAATTACCCAGGACCGACGACTGAGGGGACGAACAAAAATTTCAACGCGATGTTGCTGTTGTGCTCGTGCTGACTGGATATATTTGCTTGGCGGTGGCTCGCTTAAATACGCTTTTTCAATTTTTAATCGCGTCCCTTTTGGGGACGACCAGGGGGTGAAGGCATCGCTAATGAATGGATACAAGCTAAGTGATAAAACCGTTCTCTCGCTTGTTATGTGTTCCTACCATAACGATAAATACAATTTCTAGCGGGCGGGTGAGCTTGGTTTAGGAAAGTACGAGAATATAGATTATCATTGAAATATGCGCGGAATTCGATGTAGAATTGAATCAGATTGTGAAGCATTTAGATTCTTGTTGAATAATCGATTGGAACTGGTATTGGATTGATAGATAAAGTTATTTGATGATGAATTGAGAAGAATTAATGAAAATATATTTATTTAACTAATTGTATCGGTAAATTATTCATTTAATTTTCAATTAACATTCTTATCTAAATATGTGATTGAATATAAAAGATGTATCATAATAGAATCCAATGTCTCCATGAATAAATTCGAATGAAATGGACATTTTCTCGGTAGCATGTTCTTCTAACCTTGTTTTTATTTATTTGTGCAGGTTGTAACGCCTCGTACGAGATGCAGGGACCGAGTTTTGTTTCTGAACCACCTTCTCGCGTCGAATTTACCAATGTGAACGGTGGTAGAGTGGACTGCACAGTCAGAGGGAATCCAGCACCTACAGTGGATTGGTTGGCCGCCGATGGAGGCAGTATAACTAACATACCAGGCATCCGACACGTTCTTGGGAACGGGACGATTCACTTTCCGGGATTTGAGGCCGAAGCTTTCCGACAGGACGTCCATTGGGCCATTTATAAGTGCTTAGCCGCGAACAGTGTCGGCGCCGTCGTCAGCAGAGACGTCACTGTCAGAGCAGGCATGCCAACTTCTTCCTCGTTACCCCTACGTTAATCCAAACGTTAGCCGGGGACACCGCGTTTCCCTTTCCAAAGCATTTTCGAGCATATTTTTTCTTCTTCTATTTTTTTCTTTTTCCTTTTCACATGAAAATTATTTTTACATTAACAACGCGAACGCACGAGAGATAGAAAAAGAAAACGAAAAAAATAGTTAAATACAATCGTTTTGGACGTTTAGCAAGTGGATCGTATTTCGTTGGTTCGTATATATATATATACGCATGTCAGACTATTTAAATACCTGACGATAAAATGTCTGCGTTTACGTTAAGAACGGGTCAGCGTTTAATACGACTGACGGCTATATCTCATTGTCAGTAAGAAAGATAGAGACGGAAAGAGTAAGAGAAATAGAGATATAATATACAGATAGAAAGAAAGATAGAAAAAATATGTATACACGTCGGGATAACTCTTTTTTCAACATCCGACAGTTTCGCTTTACTTCGTGATTACGTTTTAGCAAGATAGCGAACTCGGCAGCGAATTAAATAGCTTCTCTTTGTTAATCATTCTGTTCAAACTTACTCTCCACTCTTCTCTTCCTTGGCCTGGAGCCATCGATCGTTGGATCCGCGCCGACTCAAAAGCTTTCGTTTATCCAAAATTTCGAAAGAAACGGAAGAAACTCTGTTTTTTACTTCAAGAATGAGATATATTTTCTGATTGATGGAGGCCTCGACCGTGATATGGTAATATTTATCCATATCACGTATCATTTTCGACTCGATGAAAGATGCATCTGGAGAATGTTAGGTATATAAGGTAGATAGAAATGTATACATATATACACAAATGTAGTGGAATATCTTGATCTATATATAGAAAAAGTACGCGATCAAGTTTTTTCGTTCTACCTCCAGACTGAAGTATGAATTTATTTGTCAGAAAGTAGCTGAAGAATTTCTGTCGCGATATCAAATCGTGTCGAAGAGTATATTTGACTGAGAAAACCGAGTATCATGAATTATATAGCATACTTTGTTTTTCACGTTGATTCGAAGAGAGAGAGAGAGAGAGAGAGAGAGAAACAAAAGAGAGTTGAAATTTGAATAAATACTTTAATGATTTCTTATGATTAGATTTATAATCGGTCGAATCATTATTTGTACGTTTTGAAAACATAATTATTGACTTTAACGCATCCATTTGATACGAGTAAATTAGATTAAATCGAAGGACATTAATTTTCTTGTACGCGGTTCCTGACTATGAATCACAAAAAATGTGAATGATATAGTAAGATTTGATTTATTTTTATCTAAGGAGTGTACAGCACAAAAAGAAGACAGAGAGTTCGTGATCGTTTCCTTACATTCGATTGGCCAAACATATAGACACGATGGGCGAATTCAGCAAGGAGGAAAAGGGTAGTACGACGAGGTAGAAGGGTAGTTCCGTAAAAGGAAAGAAAGGAAAGGAAAGAACAGAGATGGAGATACGAAAGGTGGAAGTACGGCGGTGCGATAAATGGAGCAAAAGGGGGTCGCGAGACGCCTTAAAAATAGAGCTTCCGCCGGGTCAACGAACCGGAAGATATCTTATCGACCTAATACGCCCGTAAATCATCGTCGCGTGAACGCAGCCCATACCTTTTCAGATTCATGCTGAGGATATCTCTGCCGCGTCAGCTCTCTCTCTCTCTCTCTCTCTCTCTATCTTCCTTTCTGCTATTTCCTACTTCATCTCCATCTCCTCCTCTTTTTTCTCTCCTCTGCCTTCTTCTTCTTCTTGGAGAAAACTCTTCCAACCGGATACGCTGTATTCCTCGAAGCAAAATGGATATGATTACGTGCTCGCGCATGCTCAGATATCTTTTGTAGTATAACGTGTATCGGTATACTGACTAGCAGAGAAGAGAGGAGAGATTGGAATCGAGTAACGCAACAATGGAACACCGTTTCCGCTTTCGTACGTTCCCTGAGACATCCAGCATCCTCCTACTGTCAAGAGTAATCTCGATTCTCGAACGAAAACATGTATGTACGTCTCACATCCATCTACATTCTCTACTTGGACGTGTCTTGCTCGGACACGTGAGTTCTCTATGTAAATGTGTGTGTGCATATATATCCCTTCCTACTAGCTATAAGTTTACCTATACTTACTCTCGATACGTGTCACTATCACGAAATACGTGACATATGTTACTTTCTGTTTACGTATAGTAGAACTTTCAACACACATGTATCTACATATATAGGTTCTTCTACGTTGTACCTTGTACTTTTACTTAGGTACGTGCAATCGTAAAAAGAGCTTGAACCGTACGTTACTTTCCACCTTGGACATGTGCAACTTTGAATTTTCCACAAGTCGAAGGCGACGTCTGTATTTGCGTGAAAGGTCAAACGTCGTCGTATTCGTTGTCGGTTTTTTTTTTTTTATTTTTTCATGTGAAACGAAGTTAGAAGATACGGACTGATGTTCGTTTCTTTCTGAAGAATAAAGGGAACCGGTACGTCTCCGTCATGAATGATTCAGCCCGTTAGCGTTGTCCCATTTTGTTCACTTTAAACGTTCCTTCTGTAGAGTTTCCTTTCGTAGAACGAGTGGTAAATGTTTCGTACTATTTAAGTTAAGAGATAATTAATGATCTTTGTTAGTTTCGCGGTTGGCGATGAGAATGAAATTTTCTTCGTGACTTCTTTCTCTCTCTCTCTCTCTCTTTCTCTTTCTCAATCATGTTCTTTCTTTCTGCTACAATTCAATACGTTTTTCAATGTTTCCTTCCTTACGATTTATTTTCTTTTTCTATAAAAGGAAATTGAAATTCGATTTATAGTAGAACGTCTTTCTCGGTATTGCCTTTTCTCTGCAATATGTCAAAGTTAATTACAATTTAAGTCATCAGAGAAAAGAGAAAGCCATTACGTAGCACGGTCGTTACGTAATTTTACCTCTCTTCCATGAATTACGATAAATTTACGCAACGGTACTACGCTGAGCATGAAATGCGGTCAACCGAGGGAGTCGAAGACGACTCTGTTCGCATTGAAAAAAGTTAATTAAGGTTCCTCTCCCTCGAAGAAAGACGAAATTACGCTACGGGATAAGGAAAGTACCTCACTTTTGCTGAGGGTAAAGAGAAAGAATTTTAGAAGGGAATAGAGAATGAACGGAGGATATTGATAATTTATAAATAAATGAAATTACTTACTTTCAGTTTACTTTTCCCCTTCTTCTTCTTTTTCTTATTATATAATTTTGATGGAACATCAAGCACAATCAATCTCTGGCCGATTTATTTTCTTTTTTTTAAATAAGAAGATATAAAATAATACGGTTTTGGGAGCCGTCTTGAAGAACAACAACGCTGATGATTGTAAGCTTTGTGGGTAAGGGAGAGAGACAGCAAAGGTCGATGAACGAAAGATAGGTACTATTTAAGACAAGCCTCGACTAAAAGTTACCCATCCAATGCTACACTTCGTAGAAAATGAGGAAGTTTAACGACCACGAAAGACATTTATATAATAAAAAGCTCGAGGAACTCAGCGATATTTACTTTTACGGTATTACAGTATCACTCTTGAGAGTTTCCTTGGGAAACGTTCGCGTTCCTCCCCTTTTTTCCTCGAATATCATCCTACACTCTTTTTCCTAAAACTCTTCCTATTCGTCTGTTTGTAGGCTGATTCTTTTTTGTTTTTTTTTTTTTTGTACTTTTTACGTTTTCAAGGACTTTTCGTAAAACACCGAATTTCACATCACGTTCGTTTCGAATGGACCCGATGTACATTTACAACATATATCCTGTTACGTTTGAGCTTGATATTCGAAACAGTTTTTTTTTTACCTTACGAATCGAACGGTTTCATATTGGTAGGCAAATAATGCACGTTATGTAGAAAAACGAGACTTTTCATTTTTACGAATGTTTAGCATTTCTTAAAGAAAACGAATAGGGAGACATTTATTTTGTTATTCCTTCTTACTTTTTTTTCTACGCTTTAAACATTTTTATATTGGGTTTGAAGAAACCAACAAAAAAATATCCAATGATATAATGAACTATTATAAATTATGATCGTTGTCGATGGACGTATTCAGGAATAAATTGTGGAGAATGTTATTGATTATTTAAACAAATTATTGAGTATAACTGACAAATCATAAGAGACTAATTGTAAGCTACAAAAATAGTATTAAAATGAAAAGATTTTTTTTTTATTGAAAATCTTGTCGTCGTTTATGAGACTCCATATCGATTTTTACGTTAAAAAACAAGAAAGTAGGTCGTTTTCCTTGACAGCAGAGATTACATCTCGGAGAAGAAAGTTTCATCTTTTCCAGATTCGATTGTCTGGAAGCATGATTGGAAGGAGATTAAATATTCCGTTGCAGTAGTAATTTAAATTACCGTGGCAAAATTGGTTTTGTCGTTGAAACGAGGCGTGTTCTATTCTTTATCGAAAATTATGTAATTATATAAAAGTATATGTATGTAATATATACGTACTTACAGTAATAATTATTCTCTCAAAGAAATAAATTATACATATCGGTTAAATCAGATATCCTATTCTCTATCGAAAATTATTTAACTCTAAAAAAGTATTTATTTAGCATGAATACTTACTATTATCAAAGAAATTTATTTTATTTATCAGTCCAGCCAGATGTCTTATTTTCTATTGTGAAAATTATTTAATTATATTATAATTGAGTATATAAAACTGGTTATATCCGAACGAGTGGTACAAACGGAGGGGGAGAAGTTCGTGTTTACAAATTCTGTTGATTACCTTCACATTAAAATATACTTTCAATTACGTATCATTTAAAAACGTTTTCTTTTGTTTATACATTAACAATATACATTCTTATACGACTTATATTTCATACGTTTAGTTCACTTCTATTAGTCGAACTGCGAAGATGAAGCAGTAGCAGCAGTCAAATTAATAACACGATTTGTAAATCTTCGCCATTTATACAGGAAAAAGATATGGTAATACAGATATTTATTTTTTATTACGCAAAACATTTAAATTCGTAGATGACGATGCGTATGTTTGAAAATGTTCAAAAAGAAATTTTCTTTCGATTTATATTTATACGCAGTATCATGTATAAGTTATTACAGTATAAATAATAACAATAATTGATATTTACAGAAAATTAAATGCGACATATTAGTTGAGTCAATATTGGAAAATTGTTTAGGTATTTCTTTTGAATACGCGTCATTATTTTTCGCAATAAAAGAGAGAAAGAAGAAAAAACTAGAGAGAAAGAGGAAGATAGGAGAAATGTAATAGTTACGTCTCTTTTGCTCTCGAATAAAATCGACACGCAACGCGACGAGAAGAAAGATCGGCTTGCAAGTAACGTATGTACAGGCACATTACAATGCGGAACTGCAAACGACAACGTCGTCGAACGTTGGGAGACAATTTTTCTGACTCGGTTAACGCCTCACGTCCGTTTTATCTACGATATTTTATTCCTATTCTCTGTTAGCATAATGTCCTCTACCTTTATTCGCAGAAGAAAAATAGTGTCTCGTCATTGATTTTTCCTTAAACTTATGTTAGCGTGAAATTTTATGTAATCATTATTATGTTTGGAAAAGTATACAATATATTCTCGTTGTGATAAAAGAAAATTAGTTAATATTTTAAGTTCTTTAGAATATCGTTGTCACGTTTGACGAATAGATTAATCTACGCGTATAATGTTAAGTAAAAGTACATGGTAGTTTATACGAAGAGCAGAAAGATGAGTTCACTTATCTTCTCTCTCTCCTTCTATCTTTCTATCATTTATTCTATTTTCTTCTTTTCTTCTTTTCTTCTTTTCATCGTCGCATTCTCGAGTTCTCCTCGCTCCACTCGTTTCGCGGCCGTTCTTTGAAATATAATAGCGCTAATGAAAATGGAAATGCAATTGCAACGTCTGTATATCTCTGCAACTTTTATATATTTTGTATATGTGTGGTAAATATATATATATATATATATATA